ATCAAACAAAATTATACTTTGATGTCGCCCAATTAGCTCCTTTTTTCGCAAGACTATCGCGAAACTTTGATAGTTTTTGGTTTAGTAAACGTCTTAATTCATAACTTCGATTACCTGGAAATCTAGGAGAAACAAGCAAAGGAGAAGAAACTTGATAACCATGCTTCAGTGTTAGTGACTGTCCATGTCATTGGAATTGGCCATTGTCCACGAAGTTTCTAATTAAATACCTTCTATGATCCAAATAGAATATCTGTAACGCACAGTGACAAAGTCGATCAATCTATTTTTAAAGAGTGTATCATCGTTTTTTGGCGAGAAACCCGAAACTCTGTAACATATATTGAATGTTTACAAAAGGCAGCACTTAATTGCGAGCCTGTTTGGTTAGTGATTGGCAAGAGATAGATGTACTCATTAAATAGCCTGTCCGTTTTATTGGACGCCTCCTTGCGGTTTTGACGTGGAACTTTAGAATAAGATAAGATAAATTTTCGCGGTTTTCTATGCTATAATTGTTTTAAAAAATTCTACGACTCTAACTTGGCTTAAACTTTTAGAAAACTTTTTCCTCTTAGCAGAAAAAACTAGAAATTAAGCCTTGAACTTGTGAAGCATGCACACCGGCCTCAAGCATTTTATTCGAGCGCGTAAGACAGGTTCATCTAATCTTGCCCACTCGATTAGCGAATGAAAATACAGGATTTGCCTGGCTCACGGAGGTAGTCTTACAATAAAGGTTGATACGCGCACCTGCTCGCTTCTGGCAAGATTTGACGTGAACCCATAGAGTAGAGACTGGGAACCCGCAAATATACAGAACCTCTGGCGAGGATACTAAGCCAAGATGGCGGCTGTTTTGTGCATGAGATTGTCCTCTTTTATGTAATAAGATCAGGTCTCTAGTTATTTGAATGTTGTTTTAAAGGACGTAGTATCTATTTCCAAAGTAAGAGTCATGTCTGATCTGAATATTTTATTCTGGTAAGACTTTGCACTTGCAATTTGAGAACGAGTTTTTGGTAAAGTTTTTGGCTCATCTCACATTGGTCATCAAATGCCCAGAAAAAACATCCATTAGTGCTATGCTAAGTGAAGAAGGCTCTTTCTTTCCATTTTAACACCTTTAATCTCTGCCCAAATTTTAGCCCTGAAGATCTACTTGCACACAAAAAGAAACCTTCTCAGTTACCACTGCAAGGAGGACCTAAGGCATTCGCTCCGGATGTAGATGCAGATGAAAAAATCTTGTCGTCCTTGCTTCAGGAACATGGAGATGTCCTACAGGAACAAAGAGTTGCAAAAAAGTATATTTTATAGAGTTCTTTTCTTTGCTCTCTTACCACACCGCGGGTAACAAACTACTTATTGTGACTTGGAATTTAAAGACATGTCTTTCTGCGACTGACTTTAGGATTTGAACTTGAATGTAAAGTTCACTTACTGAAGTAATTTTTATACAATACAATTAGTTATCAATTAAGATTTAGTTATCCATAAACACGTAAGTAATAGCGATATGAACCGACGTTTCGAAGTCTTCATGACGCCATTGTCAAGGCAATTTATGCGAGGATAGTGAATTCTGCGACCATTAATAACTGCAAAAAATTTACTTGATAAAGAATGCGAGATTAAATTACAGGGACACTTTAACATGGATTGAGTCGAATTGCATGTTCGGAGTTGGTTTTAGTTTGGTTTAAACACTACCAAGACAAACATGGCAAGGTCCCTGCTTCACGGTTCTAAAGAAATGCAAAAATAAATTTGATTGCTTAATGCATGAGATGTTATTCATCAGAAAACTAAAATCAACTCTGAACGTGCCATCGGACTCAATCAGTGTTTTAGTATTTCTGTAATTTAATCTTGCATTCTTTATTATGTAAGTTTATTGCAGTTATCAATACTTGCAGAATTCATTATCTTAACGTTCACCCCAACAATAGCATCATGAAGACTCCGAAGTGTCAGTTAATACAATCAGTGATTGCAATTTTGATTCATGTTTCTGACAGGAGCAACTTATCTGTAGGCACATGGGTCCCTGGTGAAAAAGTTGTGGAGATGTCAGTAACAAAGGTGAATAGTTGTCTGGAAATGCATGTATAATGTTTTTAAAAAAAATTTGGTTTGTTTGATTGTTTGCCCATTGATTTATGCTCTAGCACATTTCCGCAGAGCTTAGTGTATAAGTTTTTTTGTTCTACCTGAAAGTGATGGAAGGGCTACCATTCTGAGAAAAGTTGATAAATGAAAGCCCATATGTCTGGATCCAAGTCTTGGCCAATTGTGTACTTGTCAAAGTCTCTTGCATATGTCTGTCAGGTGTTTGACATTAGAAATGAACTCTGTTATAACAGATTCAGGTGACGAGCTATCAAGGTTAAGTTGCCTTCCCTTTTTGCAGGGTCCTCACTGGCAGCACTTTGGACATCAAAAACATGGCAAAATGTTACTACAACCACATGAAGCTCTTTTTCTTCTTGAACAGGTATATTGCATTTCATTTGGGTATTTGATGAATTCATTTTTGTTTTTCTGAGAATTCTTTTGTACTATCTTATTTTTATAAGCAAAATCACACAGAACCAGCTATAGTGACCCACTATACTTACCCATACTCACCTTCTTTTTTTCTCTTTGACCAGAGATATTTTGGTAAAGTGGAGAAGTTGCATTTAAATTTCCTATTAATTATATCCTAATTCACAGAAGAGACAGACAGTCACACAGGATGTCTACTTTCTCTTATCTTATAATAACACACTCTATAAATTGAGATCATTCTCAAAAGTGAAATAAACTGAATGGCAAAATTTTGCAATTATCCCTACTGATGATAACTTGCTTTAATTTAATGCTTCAGGGATCGCTGGCACTGTATTATGGTGGACTTCCAATGTCTTTTCAACAGGTAGCAAGAATGATATGTCCTTCCTTCTTTCAAAACAAAATACATTTACAAATCTACACAGTATATGCATATATTATGCATGTATTGGCATGTGCATATATTGCTCAACATATCTCAGAGTAAACTGCATGTGCAAGTGTGAAGCTTGAACTCTTTAAGTTGAAAACGATGTATGCTTAGACCTTATAATATAGAAATGCTATCAAAGTGTTTCTAACTGATCATTTCCTTTCCTGTATCCAAGTTGTATTATCACTGATAACATAAAGTTTATTTTCCTTTTATTTTTAATCTGATGCACTGTAGGCCTATATGACTATGCTCTCTGATGGTTTCTCTCCTGATTTCTATCTGGTTGGTGGAAATAAAATATTACTATTTTTTAATACTTATAATGAAATTGTGTTTGTTTTATTTAAAGAAAGGTGTGCCATGATCAGTAATGTCTTAATGGTTCCCTGTATTGGACACCAAGTTTTGTACACTGTAATCTCTGTTTTTTCTATATTTTTGAGTCCTTTTAATGATGAGTGCTGAAGGTTTAATGTTTTTCAGGGCTTTGAAACTAATGAAATGAAGTATCCACACCAATGAAATGTTTGGTGTTAGAGTTTTTTATTGGCAGCACTAAGAACATATTCCATACATTTGATATTTATTGTAACAATTAATTTTTCTTCTTTTTTGAAATTCTGTGTTGTGTCATGTTATTCCAGGTTTACACTTATTTTCTGCGCTTGGGATTCACAGTTCTAAGACATCAATCAAGGTATAATTAAATTCTTATACATGTACTTTACATGTTTTTCAGAAGCAAGAACCTGAGGTATGTGTCAATAATTATTGTTGAATATTTGAATATCTCTAACTCTATGAAAATTTAAGTCACTGGCCTGTCATATTTAAATTTACCATGCATATGGTGTCGGATTCACTGTGAATGTGTTTCTTGTTTAGAAAAAAACATGGATCAGACACACAGACTGACATGGTCAGCCCAGAGAAGAAAAAACAACAAGAAGCCGTGAGATCTGTTGAAAGTGAAGGAAGTGTTGACACTGCTCATGGTAAAGGTAGCAAACCACTGGCGTCATCTCCTGTTACCCACCTTTGGACCAGTGAAGATGGCTGCAGACCCCTTGTGAGGCCAGAGGATGCCACCTCAACAGGTATGTTGCATGTATATGTAGTGTTCAAAGTAGACTCATTGAAATCTTGAGATGTGTCAAAGTTAAATGATACCTTGTATCTATATTTTTTATATGGAGCTAAATTAACAAAAAAATCAGTAGAATCAGATTAATAAGGATAAGCATGGGGATGCTCCTATTGGCCTTTGTCTCCAAGTTGAATTTGAATTTGAATTAGGGGTGTTGTTTATTCTGGAGAGAAGAAGACTAGAAAATATGGAGGAAAACCTAAGGAGCAAGGATGATTGGGGATGGACTTCAGGGTCCCACCGGAAGCAAGCCCTTAACACTCTAGTAGAGTTTCAGCTTTTGTATTCTAATATTACTTTGGTGCCTTTTTAGCTGCAGTTTTGTCCAAGCTACAAGTAATCAAAAACCAAAGGATGACTGAAGCTAATGATTTAAGGTACCTCTGTATTAAACATTTTAGGGTGCTATCCTTCAGAGGGCTCATTACCTCATTGCATAATATCAAGTCATAGGAAAGTCTGCAACTGCATGGCCATGGGCAAGCAGTGAGGATACAGGCCAAAATTAAGGCAGGAGAGCTGTGAAAAGTGACAGTGATATTAAAGTACCTAATAATATGCATGAAAATTACTTGTGGCTGATTGGCTGAAAATGAGTGCATTTTTCATGTGATATAAGTACAATGTTGTAACACAAATGAAAATTTCAAATTCCGCTCACCCAATTCCAAAATTTCATCCATCTTGCCTGACTGTGATGCAATTTTCATAGTAATTTTTAACAAGTAACAACATGATTTCTCATGCAATATGGTATAAATAAGCACTTGTAAATTTTTCAAAGAAGGCTACTTGTCCTTATCATGTTGTTTCTTATGCAAATAGGAAAAAGGAGCACATTTGAAGTGGAGTGATCAGATTTATACTTTGGGGAGGGGAGGGGGGGAAGCATTACCAATCCTACTGGATTGCCTGGTTTCGTTGTTGGAAACTAATGTTAGTTTTCAGTCTATGGTTCTAACTAAATTGGCAATACAATTTGTTGAAAACTAATGTTAGTCTTTTGGAAAATGTTCCTATTAAATTATTTATTTAATTGTGAACTTGATTCCAAGAGTAGAATGAACCCAACCATTGTCATTAGTTACATGCACTTTGTGTATCACTATGACCACTGCTCTGTAATGGGCTGATGGGTCATCATTGACTTTAAAATGTCTGCTTACTGCTATTCGGTCTACAGCACAAAACAGCAATCTCTTCAAATAGCATTTGATGTTTATCAGCCTGGGCTGAATTTCAAGAAATCAGATCCAGGGACTCCAGACTTCTGTGTCTCTGTATGCAGGTAACTTGTGCTTGTGCTCTGCTTTTGAAAAGTTTCTAAAAATGGGCCCCCATTTATCCTCCTAGAGTTCCAAATCTCAGATTCAGTTTAAACCGCAAATATCGTAGTGCTAATAGGAAAGGTTACAATTCCTATGAATCTTAAAAATGTCATTTCTCCAAGTAATAAGATCAATACTGGGTTCCTTTCCAACTCTTTCAGGTCCCTATCTTTACTGTTTCTTCCCAACTCGCGAAGGGGCAATCGCTAAAGAATACAACCTTGTAAATCCACACTCATTCTTAAAAGGAATGAAGAAAAGGGGTTGTGAAGCGTGATCCGAAGTGAATTCTTCAATTAACGTCGAACTTTTGAGTCTGTTATATGTAGTTTGTCCAATCTTTTCCTTCGCAACCATAAGTGTCGTTTACAGGGGGCTTCGTGCCTACCTGACGGTGTCCTCCGATTAAAAATCCTCATTTAATTTAGTCAAATGTTGCTATGTTTGTCTGCTGTGAGTGGGAAGCCTCGGCCTCATGCACGGTAACCCACCCCGCTCCTAATTAAGTCAGTCAGGCCACGGTTAAGGTGTAATTTATCATGAAACTGGTCAATTCTGTACTTTCAGGTTTTGTGACCCTCCCCCTTCACTGGCGGTTATGAGCGCTATGAAAAAGGAATGCGCTCGTGTTCCACTTAAAATCGCTCTGGTAGATGGAGGAAGTATATCTTTTTACAGTGTGCTGGATGTCGACAGCCCCACATATATCACGAGAGGTTAACGCGACTCGAAAACGTCACAACCCTACCAGCTAGCTCGGATAACGGAAAAAAGGTGCTCAGAAATGCCTGCGTGCAGTCGTTGTCAGTGGATTTCAACTCGTGGCCATGCCCTGAACTTCGCGTCGCACAAGCAATGAATTGTTTGAGAAATTTCGACTTGCGAATCTCGCAATTTCATAGAGTATGTTGTTAGAAGAAATTCTCAAACAATGAAGACGTTTCGTTTCATGTAAGGGACTAACTCCGCTTGAACGGCTCCCAGTTTTCGTTGCATGATGCTCCTCCTTCCTGATGTAAGGCAATTATCCCCCAGCATTTCACGGTGTAATCCTGTTTCGCTGAGAGTTCGTCGGTATCCGCTCACACTTCATGGTAGAAAGAAGCTGAAATATTTAAATGAATGGCCAATGAACGAAACTAATTAAGTTGCCTCCTATAGTCTCGAACTCATACCTATTCATCAAAAAATTCATTGTCTTTTTTCACACAAATCTCAGTTCAGTCACGGTGAGTCTTGCAGTAACTTTTCTCTGGCCTCTGAGATAAGGAGAAGAGTCCTTTCCATTCACTTTCAGGATGTAAGCATTGCCGCATGAGTGCGTTGCCTTGCCTGGATCCTCGCCCGCTTCACTGCGGATGGAAACTTTTAGGACGACTGTCACAAGAAAAGCAAAAAATAAACGTCTTTAGTTTAAGGGAAGGATGTGTCAAGTCAGAGAGGCATTACGTTTACTTACAGCTCAGGAATACTAGTTTCCCTCCCAGTCACGGCGTGAGGTGGCTGAATGACACTTCTCTTCCTTGATGGATGCTATTTTCACACACATGATGCTTTCCACACGAGGTTAAGCATTTATCTACTGAATTTTAATCAAGCCTCTTTTAAATCTTTGGAGCCCATGTCTATCTCTGGGTTAAGAACGACGCTCATTAAGTGAACAACTTGGCTTTTAAAAAATGCATTGCTGCGTTACAAACTACAAACCAGGTTGCAAAATCACACTTAACTTCGATAAAGTCAAGTCTCTTGATTCCTCTGCGTCATTGTAGAAAATCTCTTTCGTTTTCAATTATATTCAGAGTTATCATCGTCTGGCAAACTGCAATGTTGGCCTCAAACTGTGAATATAATACTGCTAAACGGTACTAGTTGGTAGCAGTGTAATGTCTAGGGAAATATTGGTATAAAAAATTTGCTAAATATTTCTTGCAACTTACGTTCTTGACATTGTGCCTTTGTAACTCAGATGACATTTGCCGATTTCATTTCAGTCGGTCCATTTCGCCTGATCTATGATATTCAACTAAATCAGGGCCGTAGATAGCATGAGGCAAGACGAGGCAAATGCCTCGTCTTGATTTTGGCCCAAGATTGACTTTTCTGAGGAAAAATGCCACGGAAAATGCTTAAAAGAGCATTTCTGAACCTCCAGATTTCAAAATGTTCTGGAGGGGCATGCCCCCAAACCTACTTAGCGGCTCGCGCCTTCGGCGCTCGAAACTTGTCTCGTCTTGTTCTGAAGTCTGGCTACGGCCCTGTAAATTGGCAATACAATTTGTTGTGAAGATTGGCTTGATATTTGCAATTTTCCTTTATGTTCTAAGTTATGATTTTGGACACTAGTGTCCGATTTTTGATTTTGGACACCAAGTGAGTGAGTGAGTGATGGTGAGAGACAGGCTGGTTAAAGCGCAGCTCCCACTGTTGCGTGTGACTCCCACTTCGCGCTTGCCTTGCGCTTGTCTCCGTTTCCTGAAAATGCAAAAAAAGGCCGGCCTGGAGGTTACTTATTTGAGCGGTGGGTACTTATGTCACGCATATTCCTCGATAACATAACTGGCAAAACGCGAGGCTGCCATTTTGAAATTTAGCGCTCCTGCCGACACTCCTTCCTTAATCTGCCGAAGGCGAAGTGAATGTTATTGAACAATCCCTGAGATGAAGTTTCGGGGATTATTGAATATGACAATCCATGACCAATTAAGCGTGCGCATCCCACCGGACCATTATACTCTCGGCTTCGTCTCGGAGATTATTTAACAATATTCATTCAAAGGAAAAAAAAAAATTTTTTTTTCCCTTTTCTTTTGGGTGGTCTGCCTTTGTATGGGGTCTATGACTCTTTTGTAGAGTTCATCCCTTTTAATGAAGAGGTACCAATCAGAAGCAGTACAGAATTGAATGTACGTAGATATGTCTAGACTTATACAGGGGCGGATCCAGACCTTGAGCTAAGGAGGTGGAGGCGGTTTTTTTGTCGCTTGCCCTGCGGGATTTTCTTCCTTCATACCCTTGCACGTCCTTTCTACAAGACCAAGAATCCTGTTTGCTTTACTAGTTATTTTGTCAACATGAGCATTTCAGGACAACTTGCTACTGGTCAATAGGCCTTCGGCGAATAATTGTTAATTACAAGTGTTGTTGCGCGAAAAAGTTACTTGAACGTTGCGTGATGAATAAAATCGTGTTTTAAGCGTCTCCCTGCGTTCCCTCTTAGAAAGGTTACACTAGAAGTAATTAAAAATATTTTCCTCTGAGTGAAACTCTTTATAAAGCCCGCTCTGTTCTCCTCCACCAACTGAACCTTTATTTAAGTTGACTCGGTCCAATCGCTTCGCGCCATTTGTCGTTCATGTGAATCCAAGATGGCGGCATGAACTGCAAATCGAGGGTTCCAAAGTCTTATTTTAGAAAAATTAGTCCATTAGTCTTAATGTTCTTAGAGAGGTGTGGTTTGTTATGGAGTTACTTGAGGGCCTGAGGCAAAGAAAAGGGTCTGTTAATGGAGGGAAAGGCGCGAAGAAAGTTGAGGAAATAAAATCTTGCGATCAAAAGGACTTTAAAGAAGTGTCAGCTGAGGCAAGGCGAACTGATTTGGAACCTGGAACTTACTGGCTGACGAGGATCGTGTTTCTGAGGTCACTTGGCTTTATTTATTGTAAGTTGTTTCAACTACTCTCTTATATGATTGACAGAATTTGAAAGAAAGTTGATTTTTAGAAAGTATTTCCAAGATTTAAGTTTGGGATATGCATACTTTATTGTTTTACGGGGAATGAATTCAAAAGAAAAAATCTAACCGTCATCATTCCCGAAAACAGGTCCAGAAGTTCAGTTTTAGGCCCACATGTGAAGTGCTGGACTGTAGAATTGTAGACTTGTACATGTTCATTAAAACAGCTGATGTGATCAGTACAATGGATGTCTGATCAATTTAAATGACCTAAGTTTAAGTACCTCGGTTAACCCTTTAACTTCCAGATCAAATTTGTAACTCTCCTTACTGTCAGCCATACAATTCTTTTAATGTTAGTTCAGAGAATTTAGTATTGTATCAACCAATTATCCCCAAATTTATATTTTTCTTAATTCTCATCACTTATCTGGTTGATATTGTATTGATAATTGTAAGGAGAAATTCTGTCTTGGTTCCTCATGGGAGTGAAAGGGTTAAAAAACATGATTATGGTTTCTCCTTGCTTATATTCATGGGAACAAAATCCTATCATTGTGGTAGGTCTGAGAATGCCAATACATTGGTATTTTTAAACTATAGATGATGAAATACTTGTGGGTTTCTCCTGTGGTGTCCAATTTACAGAGCACATGCAATAATATTCCTTTGTAATTGTTATAAAAATAATATACTGTGGTATCAAAACACCTTTAAGTCGATGATCAAGTTCAAGAGATTGGTCAATTTGATCTCTGAATTTTTTTAATGGACAGTTTCCTCTTCTTATTTTCAGTTGTGGCTTTTGCAGTTGCCTTGAATCAAAACAAACAGTTGCTAGGAAAAAATGGGCTTCTTCCATCAGACTTATATCTGAAAAAAATTGATGAACATTTTGATGATGCTGGGTGGACAAAAGTCCTTCATGTTCCAACCTTGTTACTCTTCACTGACAAAACCAAGATTGACGAGCATTTGGACATTTTGGCATATACTGGGATGTTCTTCTCAGGACTCATCCTCCTATCAGGATGTGCAAACATGATTATTATGGCCTTACTGTGGGTTCTCTATCATTCTATTGTCAACATTGGGCAAAGATGGTAAGTGTTTGATAGGGTGTCTTGTCCCTGTCAACTTTTAATGAGTCAAAGACATGAGATGCTTAAAAATATTAGAAGACAATCCTGAAGAGTGGAGATGAAAAACACAGACTCGTTAGCTACAGGGTTTTATAATGACACAACAACAAATTCTCATGACTGATCAACAAGAAGATACATAGCAGCTTAGAAGGAGAAGTAAAGTTTAGATATTGGAAGACAAAGGGTTTAACTGAGGTGTTTTAAACAAGGCCATGAATAATAATGAAATTTACCTGTGATTGCAAGTAAGGATGGTATTAAAGATGAAAACTTATATTAAAGTTCATAATTGCGAGCACAATTTTTTTTTTGTATATCAGTTACCATGGGACTGCCTGGTAAACAAACCTTGCATTACAAATACCCAATCAAGATTAATTTTAAAATCAACACAAAAGATTGTTGGTAGATTTTCATACATTTATCGTTTGTAAATCTAAATGTTTTTCTATTACTTTGTTGTTGTAGGTACTCATTTGGTAAGTATAATCACAATATATATTTTTTGTGTGGATTTTTAGAACATAGCTGGTTTTGTAGAATATAGTTGATTTTGCATTTTAAATACAAAATAATTTCTTTTTCATTGTAGGTTGGGAATCGCAGCTTCTTGAGACTGGTTTCCTAGCCATCTTTTTGTGTCCAGTGTTTAAATTACAGCAAGTATCCAGTTACACACCAACACCTCTGGTGGTTGTGTGGGGATACAGATGGCTTATCTTTCGCATTATGATTGGTGCTGTAAGTTTTGGCAAGAAGTATTGATTAAACTAGTTAGAATGTATTGTTTCATTAAATAAATAGAAATGATATTGATCAAGCTTCCATAGGCAGAGCTCTGACCTAACCCTAGGTATAGGAAAACTGTCAGCAATAGGGTTGAACTTCAGTTGTGAACATCATCTTCAGATGTAAGAATTTGTACAGTAGAGAAATTCCGAGGTGCTCAGGACAAAACAGAAAATATATGCAAAGCAAAAAATTCCAAAGCACTCACCCAAGGTACCTGATTTCAAACCTGTAAAGGAAGGATCAATGATAGGTTCCCTTGGAGTATATTAATTTGTAATTCTAATATTGCATGTTTTTTATCATTAAGGGACTGATCAAGATAAGAGGTGACCAATGCTGGCGGGATCTGACATGTATGAACTATCACTATGAGGTAATTAATTTTGATGACCTTCCATCAACTGAAAGAGTGGATGTAATCCTAAAAAAAATATTCTTCCAATCTTTGACAGACTCAGCCAGTGCCAAATCCTATAAGTTACTTTATGCACCAGTCTCCAGAGATATTCCACAAGTGTGAAACTTTGGTCAATCATTTCGTTGAGTTGGTGGTTCCATTTTTCATCTTTCTGACAAGAAGATTTCGAATTTGGTGTGGCATTTTACAAATTCTTTTTCAGGTGAGTTTTCTGTATTGTCACCTTTTCATTCCCCTGTGCCATAAGATGTTAAACATTTTAGGAGCAAGGAACTGACAAAAAACTTAGTTACCCTCAAGGATTTTAACTCTGACTCTGAGCTTCAGGGAATTCACTGGCAAGCTAGACCATGCTTCAGATTCATGTGTGACAATCCTCTTAGATACCACTAGGATCATAACTGTCATAAGTCTGCTAATTTTCATAGCCTGGTTATTTTAAGAAGAGAAAATTTGAACATATATTGTCTCAGTGATAAATCTAGGTTTGGGGTTCAGACTCCTTGACCCCCTTCCCCTCCCCCCTGGTATTTTTTCTACTTGTCTGAAATCACAATTCTTCCATAAAAAAAACATTTGTTGTTACTCAACCCGAAGTATTTAAACTTTACTTACCGTTTAGTATTTTTTAGCTTAAGGGTTAAAAATACCACTGTATTTTCTGAATCAGAGTTTGGACCCATGCTGTCAAAAAATTACAGGATCTGCTGAGGCTAGTGAGTTTCATTATGGTCATAATTAAATTTTTGATCAGCCATTGAGGTCGTTGTGTTGTTTACTCCTGTTAAGCTAGGTTATTTTGATCATCAGTGGCAACCTGAGTTTCCTTAACTGGCTGACCATTCTTCCCAGTCTCCTGTGCTTTGATGACAAAAGCCTGGCTTTCTTGTTCTCCTCATCATCAGCCAAGAGAGAAGTGATTAGAATACAGTATCTCCAAAAGACTGATGCAACTGCGTCAAAACCCACCTGGGGTATGTACAGGTCTAGACAGTCTTGAAATAATCGGTTTGTTTTACATGAGATAGTAGCTGAAGAACGCTGACGAAATCAACGTAGTCTAATTGTCTAATAAGTAAAACCGGCCAAACTTCCTAAAGCCCGGGAAAATGTCGGCGACCAAGTTGGTTGGTTGAGTGAGTTAGGCGTGTTTTCTGGACCAATCACAGAGCGAGATATAGCAAAAACGAAGCAATCCAGAATTACTTTGGACACTCAATTGAAAATTATTAAAAAGCTTACTCGGCAAATCAGTCTCTCTCGTCTGCTGTTGGAAATTCAAAATAAACACTGTGTATGTAAGAGCAAACATTTGAAAAAATGTCTGAAAAACTAATTGTACATTGTACGAATCAATTGTTTGCTCATTTGTTTCTTTGCGGCTTGTCTTTGTTTGTAGGTCTTTGTGTTCGTCGTGTGTTTGAGCTCATGCTTGGAGTCGTGTTAGCTTATCTTAGTATCCCTGTGGTGCAAAATCTTCTTTCCTCTCGACAAGCCATGAACACATCGTTCGATTCTTTCAGGATTGTGAACACTTATGGCGCCTTTGGAAGGTACTTTAAGTAACACAAAATTCAAAACCTTGTAAGCCAGGTATTGTTCACTGCATTCAATTCGTTTTGTCTCAAGCGTAGAACTGGCGGGCTTTCAAATTTCATAGCTCTCGATTTTTGTCTTACAGACATGTATCTTATGTCAATCTCCAACTTTTTTCTCAATTCGGCAATGTAAACAAATTTTGCTTTTAAAAAGTCAAAACTAGTCCAGTGTAATGACCACAGAGGTTTGTTTCTATGCTTTGCCAACGCCCTGATTCATCCACACGGGCTCTGATTGTATTCGACTTTCCACTCTTTGGTTTTTCCTCTCGTCAATTTACTTGTAGACTTGTAAACTGGACTGAATTTTGCTCACATCTGATTGGCTGGAGGGACATGCGAAGCAAAACACACAAACTCAATAGCAAATTAGTTTCTTCACAAACCCAAAAATTTGGTTACAGCGCGAGTGTTGGATTCGTAATTTATGAAATCGTGTTTCCTTTCACTAGTGTGACAAAGGAAAGAACCGAAGTGATCTTTCAAGGTACTAGAAATTTGACAGTAATACCGGATGAATGGGGCGGGATCTGGGAAGAATATCAGTTTAAATGCAAACCAGGTGATCCCCGCAGGCGGCCTTGTCTCATTTCACCTTATCACTACAGACTGGACTGGCTCATGTGGTTTGCAGCTTTTCAGGTTAGTGTTAGAAATGGCTCGCCTGTTAGAAATAATATAAGTTAGAGGCCTAAATACGAAGACGCCGCCAACGATCCGAACAGTGGAAAAGACAAGGCTATATATTTAGTGGTAGCAGTTTTTTTTCCCTTCAAATGGGAATTAGAGAACTGCAAGAAAAGCCTGGTAAAATGCTTGGAATAACCTGGTAGAGTGAAGCATTCCATCCAGCGGGGAGTAGTAATACTCCTTGGCGTATCTTGCTTGAAAACCGGAATGAGCTCCACCTGGATGGGCCACTTGGCTACAGTGCAGGCTTTACTTCCTTTTTTTTTTTTTTGCCTTTGTTTTAGATTTACTTCGCCCTGTGATTGGTCTAGAAAATTCACGCCACTCCCTTAACCAATCAGATGCAGAACTAAAACCAATCAAAACTTGGGCAGTTTGGTTGTTTTTACTTGGGGTTCTCATTGGCTGCTTATGGTATTTCCCTAAACGCAAATCTAATTCTGTTTTTCAGAACTTTCAGTACAACCCTTGGCTGATACACCTGGCAGCTAAACTTCTTGTTAATGATGAACAGGCCACTTCATTGATAGCTCACAACCCATTCTCTAATGGTACTCCTCCGCTGTAAGTATTGCATAGTGATGCTATCTTTGTTGTTGTTTAGTTTGGTTGTAATTTTATTGTCACTATTGTCGCTAACTTATACTAGCGCATTTGGAAAACGCGTGCGACTTGTTCAGCAGAGAATGGTCCAACGAGCTATTGGCGTTCGTCGCTTTCCCCGTCCCATCCTTTCGTCGCCTATTCAATCCGTGAGCCTTACACGACACTGTTCACTTTCAGACTCGATCTCAGTCACTTCTTCGAAGAATTGGTCAAATGCGCATGACGTGGGGGAAGGTCCAAAGTATTTGCGTCCTACACGACACACCGTGCAAGTTTTTCGATGAAGTAATTTCTGCTCAGTCTTCCGTTACTTTCGAAAAATGGTTAGGGATGGATTAGGGACAAGTCTAAACCTAGACTAATCGATTTACTCTAAAATGTGTCTGTCGCCTAATGGCCCAACCAACCTGCTCTGTCTTCCGTTACTTTCGAATAATAATTAGGGAGAGTTTGGGGACGAGTCTGGACCCAGACTACTCGATTTACTGTAAAACGTGTCTGTCACTTAATGGCCCAACCTTCTGAGCGCGTACACCACAGGCTGTACAACCCTTGGGTCTAAATGAAGCTGAATTCCTTTTCTTTTGTTTTTTCTTCCCTCGCTAGAGTTATTCGTGGTGAACGTTACCTATATAAATTCACAAGAATTGGGAGCAAAGAAGCACGTTCTGGACTCTGGTGGAAACGGACTAGAGTTGGGCCATACTTTCCACCACTGGAAATAACTTCACGAGCTGTTCGGGACTACTTGAAATCTCACGGGTGGAGGGTGCCGAAACTAAAGAAGACGAACAATGCCCCAAGAACTTGACTTTAACAGAACTGCATATGATTTATCCTTTAACATGAACCTGTTATACATGATACTATCAAGGTCGTAAAGTACGGGTTTGTACTTTCTCTCTGAGACTTTGCGACTTTCTTTTTCCAGCTCCTCTCTGTTAAGATTTATGGAAACAAGTGGACTTATTTGAAAAAATTTGCGAGTTAGTAAAACATTAAGATTATTTAGATGTAGGATTTGTTCTGCGATAGCGACGCTGCAACAGGTAGCAGTAGCGTGTTCGCTTCGAGCGGTAATTTTTAATCCAGTCATTTGAGGAACACCTCGTCGTACAAGAGCCAATAAAATGACAAAGACGAAAATGTTGAATACTGTTAAACCAATCCGTAAACTTCGGCCAACTTCTCCCGCTCCATTTGAACGCCAGTAACAAAAGGTAAGTACTTTTCAAAGAGCTCGTGACCACAGAGTACGAGTAAATAAGTTTATTCACTAAACTCAAGCGCCAGTGAGCCTAAACGAAATACTTAAATTGAAATGGTTACCGCATGAATCTTTCACTATACGGAACCTTATAAAAATAGCTATCATATTATCATTACAAAAATACCTTTCGATTGACAAACTGTGGACAGAAATTACTCATTCCTTGGTGACATCCTTTTGTACTGTTTTCACAAATTCAGACTTTCGGTACAATAAACTCGTATACAAAATATTAAGTATCTCTTCGCCTAAGCGAGAATACTTAGTTTTACATACATTTATAGAGTTTTTCCTGTACATAATTACATTGTATTTCAAATTTGGAATATTTGCCAAAGTTGAGCAGAACTTTGCTTGAGAGCGAGGATTTGACCTGAAAATTAGGTGAAAAAGAAATACTTAATAAATATGTTATAAAATGTTAAAAAAAAAACAATAATAACCATCGCAACCAATTCATCACTGCGAAAAGCAGATCATGGTTAGCTGCCTAACTTGAGAGGTCAATTAGATGTTTAACATACAGACACACAGACGGAAAGGAGAGACAGACAGACATACAGATGGACAGGCAGATGGACTGACACAGACAGACAGACAGTGAAATGGACAGTAAAACAGACAGGCAGATGGACAGTGAAACAGACAGATAAGGAGACAGCGAAATAGACAGACGGACAGTGAGACACCGAAACAGACAGACACTTGGACAGGGAGACAGGCAGACAGACAGTGAAACAGATGGACGGACGGACAGACAGACTAAAACATGGACCAACCCTGAAACTTGCTGAGCCGGAAGTTTCTTCATTAAAAAATTACCTCAGCAAGAATTGATTTACATCACGGCTTCCTTTGTCCTGTCTTTTCATCTTTATCTTTAAACTTGGAAGCTACAGAAGAAAAGTGAAAAAGAATTCTGGTTTTTTGCTGTTTCCTATTATCTACTGGTTTATTAACTGTACTACGTACAATGTTAAATAACTACTGTTTTTGTTTTTTTGTTGTTGCTGATCCAAAGCTATGGGACAAGACACTTTCATGGAGATCTACATAGAAGGAAATACACAAATGCTAAGATATTAATCAAACAGTTCGAACAAAGCGAAGGAAAACTTCACAACGAGCCCATGAAAACTCAGAAAACGGACGTAAAGCGCAAGTAGAGAGGATTTCTTTCGGATTTAATTATTTTCAAATCTCACTAGGAAAATGCTCATAAATATCTCATGACGTTCTCTTTTCTTTCCTCCCACTATCCGCTCATGACTTCCACTTTCGCAAACAAAAGAGCTTGATACCTACCTACAGTTTGATACAAGGCCACGCGAGCTGCTACTGAGCCCATGTTTGGTGCTTCAACCTATAAACCCAACCAGACTAAAACATTAGTGTGATTGCAGTTACCCAGCTTGCATTGCAATAAGGAGGAATGCATTAGCGCTACGAGCTCGAATTCGTTTACCGAGCCGCACTGTTTGATTCAGGGTCACCCCCCCCTTGGTGGAAGTTTTCCCTTTTCCCAACGTTCCAGTGCCTTGATGATTCAAGATAGCCGTCATAACGAGAAAAACACAAAGATAACAGATCGGTCAAAGTGTTGACGGCGAACGTAAGAACTATTATCGTACGCTTTGATACAAATGTTTGATGTAAACGTTCACGAAACAAAATTAGATAGTCCGACGTTCAAGTAATAAAGAGCAAGAAAATGTCCCCTTAAATGTTTGAAACTCAAATGAAAGCGACGAATAACGTGGTTACCACTTTTCCAAGTTTTGATTATAACAATAATGAGCGGATTTACGTATTCAGAACAACTAAACAACGCAGACTCAAATGTCAACCTGTCTTGAATTCACTATCTACAAATTTATTCCATGAGTAATCGACTTTGCTCACTCACCCCTTTAGAGAGTTGCCTTGTAAATATTTTCCCCTTGCCAACATCATGTTTTCCTAACCCTCCCTCGGACGCCTGTCTTGACAGTGGTCCCCCTGACGCCCTCTTCCACACAGGATCTGAGTCTGACTTGTTATCCGAAGATACTTTTCTCAGAGGCACTTTGCCGGGTTGGGAGGAGGAGTCCTGGGCTGGAGTGGTCCGGCTGTACGAAAAGCCTGATGGGAAGGAATCTGAAACAGGGCGCCGTGATTCTCCTGAAAGAGACAAGGTCAAAATTCAAGCTCAATAATGAATTTTCTTGTCTAGCAGATTGGTCATCAAACAAAGAGACAATGAATGACGAACAAGAGGAGAGAAATGTGAAAGGCACAATACTAACCATCGTTAGAAGAAATTTAGAATGATCGCTATCAAGCTGCAATTCCCTTACTCAGCAGTTGTTTTGCCTCGTCAGGCAACACGCTCTCTATAAATGTGAGTGTGCGGCGTGATGAGGACAACAACAGCTACGAATCACCCTACGGTCAAACAGCCCGTTACGATTAAAGCCGTTTCAAAGTCGCTGATACCAAATAAAAAAACCTGGCATGGGTCATTAAGTTTTTAAGTATTCTCACGTAAGCGATAAATAAATTGATCTATTAAAAAAGTATTCAGACAGTGATCTATTTCCAGCAAAAGTCTATAAAAATATTGAAAAGAGAAGTTGCGTTAGGAAAAGGGAAATACGTTGGATTTCACGATGTCACACTATTCATAATTTCAGAAATCCCCTTACCAAACGCTTTTCTTCTCTCTGTAACCTCTGCTGCTTTCTCTTCTTTAGCTGCCAAAGCAGTGCGCATATCGTCCAACTCCTTCTTCTGTTTCTCAACAGTAAACTTAAGCTTAATATTCTCCGAACGTTGTTCATCGTACATCCGTTTATAATCGTCGTCCACTAACCCGAAAGAGATCGAGTGTTCGGATTTGCGTCGTTCCAGCATCCGAACCTTGGTTCGGTGCGACCGAACATCTTCGGTGTGCTTTTGCATTTCGTCGTCCAATCTCTGACGAAGACTTTTTATCTCTTCTTTGTGTCTTCGTCTTTTCACCTCAAGAAGAGTTTCCTGCTCCTCAACTTTGAGCTCTAACTCTTTAATTCTTAGATCTTTTTGTTGCAAATCGAAAGAAGTGGCACGCGTATGGCTACTCCCTACGTTCACCACTCGCTGTTCACTTTTGACATTCTCAAGTTCCTTTTCGTGTCGTCTTTTTAATTCCTGAACGGATGCGTCTCTTTCCAGTTTCAAATCTTCCAACTCTTTCTCATGCTCTAACTTTTGTTCTTCAATAACATCCTCTAAGCTCTTGATTTTCAATCTTAAGCTCTCGATACTTTGCATTTCCTCCTCGCCGAGCTTTTGTTTATACATATTGATCTCGGCCTGGTGTGTATTTTCCATTTCTTCGATTTTCAAATCAAGTTCTTCGATTTCCAGTCGCAGACTGTCGTTCTCGGAGGACAGTGTCTCCCAGTCTCCCAGCTGGCATTTCTCCTCTTTCTCTCGTTCAAACGCGTCCTTGTACATTTGTATCTCCTTTTGATATTTGCGGTCAATAATTTCCATTTCTTTCTGCATTTGGTAAATCTTTATGCTCATCTCTTCGGTTCGTCTCAGTCCAAACATTGTGGCAGCCTCGGATTTTTTCAAGCTTTTTTCTAAATCAGATTTTTCCTTCTTAGCTTGTTTCTTGGTGGTTTCGATTGTCTTTTCCAAACTGGTGATTTTCGCGACAGCTTCCTGTCAAGAAATTGATAAAATTACTCAAAAGATGCTCATGAAATAAAACTTCATGAATTCTCATTACTTTCGAACGAGTGTGACAGTCGTCCCCGTCGCAGTCCTTATTTGGTTTTGTCACGCAACACACCTTGTCTCATCCATCTCTTTCGGAGAGAAAACGCGCAACGTAACAAGAACAAACAACGGCTGGGAAGTAGACTACTAATGCAACAAAGAGGGACGGCAAACGATGGTTGGACGAAAGCTGGCAATATGCAAACAAAAATCGTGCGCAGAGGGAAGAGATAATCGAGGAAGTAGAAAGCAGTGTACGAGGAGCAAATTTTGCGAAAGTACGACCCACCAGGACGGAAACGGCCGACAGAGCTTAAATCCCATTTTAAGAGGAAACGTTTTTGCTCGGTGGAAAATTCCCATAGACCAATTTCTTTAACCTCTACTCTTGAGCAAATAGCTTTTTTCTTTAACTTTCAAGATGGTCTGGACGACAAGTTCTCAGATCAATGCCACACGGTCGCAATCAAAAACGAAACAAGAGCACCAGACCTCTAAGGAGAGCTTTGTTCCTCCGTGAGTGATGGTGCTGCTAGAAGTCTGGGAATCTGGTTGACTAGCTCCAGCTGGGGGCAAATTACCACTCCGAGCCACTTGAAGAGCTACCAACATGTCGGCCTTCAGCAAGTTCACTTCTTCATCGTGTTTGGTGTCCTTCTGTTGCAGCTGCTTCTGAAATTCCTCCTTACAAGACAACAACTCCGCCTCTAACTGTCTGACTTTCTTTTTAAGCTGGGAATCATTCTACAAACAAAGTACAACAATTAAAATAAACTACGATCTTTTCGCGTGAAAAATTTGAGTTGATAGCTGACCTACTTTCTTCACTATAAAAAAGTGAAGCGGTAAACGGTAAACTACTCGCTTAGATCCCCTGAATTATAATTTCATAAATTCGCAAAACATTTCTATATGACGATGTAAAGACATCACCTGGAGAAAAAAACAAGCTAAACTCTTTTGAGCATTTACACCACACATCAGTATGTATATTCTCCATACTTTCTCCGTCTATTTTCCAAGGTGCTCACAAGGAGAATTTTTTTAACAATCAAGAGCTTCTTCAGTTGGTGATCAATTCCTTTATTCTCGTGACCTTAAAGAGTGATTCTGGAGTGATATTGTAAGGAGAAATTGAATGCTAGTCACTCTTAGGAGTCAAAGCGTAAGAGTCATGTCACATTACCTCTTGTTCTCCTTTCATGGAATTCATTGAAACAACTGTCTTCGATCCTTTCGCCTCCCTCAAGGCTTCTTCATGTTCTTCTTGCAGTTTAGCGATCTTTTCTTCGTATTCTTCCTGCATCTTGGCCAATTCTTCAGGCAGGTCTTCAAGATGGCGCGGAGAAGCTGCTCTACCTTCGTCGGCGTACTTTTCCGATCTGATTGCCTGGATCACTGTCATCATGTCGTTACGCGTTTGCTCAATTTCTCGCTGTTGTTTTTCCTGTAAACGAAGAGATGAAGAAGGTAAGGTTAAATGAGCCGGGAAATTGAAGGAAACTAGCCGCTAACTTTACCCCGAAAGATATTGACAAAATAATCTACCCTTTCAGCTTTGAGTTCTTCGTTGTACTTCCGGCTCAGTTCTTCTGTTTGTTGCTCCAGTTCATTAATTCTGTTCTTGAGCAGCTGGACATTGGAGTCGTCTTTGGCTGAGGAAGGTGCTGCTCCTAAAGACGCCTGCAGAACAACAGCCATGTCGCGTTTGAGTTGTTCTAGTTCTTCTCCGTGTTGAACCTAAAGAAAAAGAAGAGGAATCGTGTAAATAACAATACCAGTGAAGAGTTAAAAAGGTATGAGTTCTGAAAAAAAACTCTTAAAATCAAATACTAACAAGAAATTGGGACAACTTTCTGACGTAAACATGCCGATATGAGTTAATTATGTTGTGCTACAGTTTTATCCCATAACTATTATATCAAGATTAACTTCAGAGGAGTCAGCCAACATATTCACTGTCTGCCCTGGCATAGCCTCCACCACGAAGGCAATGGTCGTGGCGGAGTGGAGCCGAGGAAAAATGCTCGTAAAACAAACCTTAAGATTCTCAATTTCCTCCATGTATTTCTGGCTCATGTTCTCCATCTCAACCTGTAGTTGGACCACTTCTGTCTGTAGCCCATCCACACCGTCTCCGCTGCTCCGCTTGAGCTTGTCCATCTCTCGAGAATGGCTCTTCTTAAGTGTCTCCATTTGACTTTCATATCTAGAAAATCAATTACTATCACTACACGTGAAAACAAGTGACACTAAAGCGTACAATGACCTTGTATTCTCAACAAAACAAACACAACTACTAAAAATTTTTCTACCTTTCTGTCATTTCTTTCATCTCGTCTTCCACCTCCTTAACTCTGGCCGCCATGTCCTCATCAGTTTCTCGTATCACTTCTCTAGCACTGGTCTCCAAGATGGCTTCCCGTCTGGCGTTCTCTAATTCCTTCTTGTGTTGAGCCCGTAGTTTTTCCAACTCCTGATGATGCGCAGCCTTCAGTTCGCTGATGTCGGACTGTAGAGTTATCACACGGGAAGTCAGCCGCAATTTCAACTCATCGGCTTCTGAATTAGCGGCTCCGGAGACTTGCAAAGCCTCCTCATTTAACTTCCTCATCTCATTTACGTGCGAGTCCCTTTCCGAACTCAGCTCTTCGGCGAATTTTCTCTTGGAGTCTTCAAGTTCTGTCTGGAGTTGCTTCACTCGAGTGGATTCTAGTTCTCGTCTTATCTCGCAAGAAGATAACCTTTCTTCCACGCTTGCGTTGTCATTCAGAGCGTCTTGGTTTTTATTTCCTTCACTTTCGACGCTCTTCATCTCTTGAACCATTTGAGTTACACGTGCCCTTTCATCATCCAGTTGTCGCTCGAGTTCTTTGGCATTCTCTCTCTCCTCACCTACAGCCAGCTCTAACTCTTTAATGTACCTCATAGACAGTTCCATAACGTCTAAAATGCTGTATTTTTCCTTGTCTAAATCCTTGGCCTTATTTACCAAACTTTCTCGCGTGACATTAAGCTCTTTCTCTCTTTGAGTAAGATTATTTTCAACACCTTCAATCCACTCAGCCGTTTCTTGTTCCACGGCGAGCCTTCTCGCTAATTCTTCAGCAAGTTCGATGACCTTCTCCTCGCTCGCTATAAGTTTAGAATTTTTGTCCTTGGCAAAGTCTTCGTACTTCTTAATTTTCTCCTCTGCCTCCGTCAACTTCTTCCTCACCTCGTCAACCTTATCATTGTCTTCCCTTTCACTTTTGTGAAGCTCAGCAGCGAGAAGTTTTTCTTCCACTTCGAAATCCTCCAGTTTTTCTTCGGCTGCGGCCAACCTTTCCCTGCTGTCTTCCAGTTCCTCTTGTAGTTCTCGAATTTTCTTTTCCAGATCAGCCGAATTCTTTGACACAAACTCTTTAGCCTTTAATTCATAATTCCTCAATTTTTCTTCGCATTCGGCGATTCTCTCGCTAGCAATGGACAGAGAAGACTCTCTTTCAGAGAGTTTATCTTCTTTTTCTTTCAACTCCGATTCGAGCTCATCTATATGTCTTTCTGCGTCCTCTCTGTACACCATGAGACTGGTTGTCTTCCTGAGTTCTTCAAGTTCATTCTCCTTTACCTTCGACTTATTTCGTTCAGAATCCAAAGCGTTTTGGACCTGACCGAACTGCTCTTCAAGTTCTTGAAGTCGGAGCTTTTCTCGGCTTAATTCAATCTCCATTTCATCTCGTTTTGTTTCCTCCTCTTTCTTCAACTCTCGTTCTCTTCGAGAATTACGCCTCTCTATTTCTTTCAGTTCATCCTCTTTAATTTTCAAAAGACGCTCTAATTCGTGCACACGATTTCTATCTTTCTCTACGTTTACATTTTTGGATTCCTTCTCAACTAATTTTGTTTCCAGTTCATCAATTTTGTCTTTGTAAATTGACACCTCCTCCTCCAAACCCACAATACGTTCTTTCACATCCCATCTTTCACCTTCATCGGTTTCATTCTCAGTTTGAAGGAATATCTCCCTTTCCATACTTTCTGTAAGTTCGCTTTCCACAGTTTGAAGCCTTTCTTCTAATTCTCGGTTTTTCTCAACTACATCTGCGTTTCTATCCTCCAACTTTCTCAGCTCCTTGCGCAAGGAATCCAGTTCAGTGTCCCGCTTTTTCAAATCTTCCCTAATTTTGCTACTCTCGATTCGTAAACTTTCATAATCTCTTTGTTGCACTTTCAAACGATCCTTAAGACGATCAGTTTCTTTCTTAGCCGACCTAAAGCTCGTCTCGCTATCACTCTGATCCGAAGAACTCTCCGCTGAAGCAAGAACTGATTTTAATTTATCAATTTCCTCGACGTATGAGACACCATTACTAGTTCTTTTCTCGTCATCTTTAGTTTTCGGAATTACTGACGTTAGCCCAGTTTCCACAGACATTTCTCTAACTGGCACAATATTTTCAGATGCGACTCGTTCTTTTGCTCTCTTTAAAAGTTCGACGACTTCCTTCGAAAGCCCATCCTTTTTCCTTTCATCAGATAACAACTCAAGCTCTGAAAACAATCTGTTGTTCTCTTCCTCAACTTTAAGCCGTCTTCCCTTTTCATATTCGAGTTCTACGTTTTTGTTTACAAGTTGATTTTCGGTCTCTGCAAGCTTCCTCTCATTGTTACTCAGTTTCGACTCCAATTCCTGCAACAAAGACCGAGTGTACTTTGCCACTTTCGACCGACTTTCGTTCGCTTTCTCGAGTTCTCTAGTCTTCACTAATAACTCGCGTTCGTTTTGCTTTAGTTTCTGCATAAGAGCTGAAAGTTTAGATTCTAGATCCTTGCCTTCGTTCCCACTGGCCTCTGTTTTCAAACTAAACACTTGATCACTCTCGGGTTCTTCGCCAGTTACAATCAGTTTTTCCTTCCCACTTCCTGAGATATTTTTCATAGAAGTAAGTTCATTTTTCAGCGATTCAATATTCGCCCTGTGAATGCCAATAATACTATTGGCTTCCTGCAAGTCGGCTTTGGCCTCGGCGAGTTCCTTAGCATGAATCGACAGCTTGCCTTTGTGCTGCTGAAGAAGTTTCTCTTTCTCTTCCATTTGTTGTTTCAAATCGTTCATTTTAGTTCTGGCCTCAAGCAGTTCTTTCTCCTGAAATAGCAGTGCCTTCTGATAGTCTCGGCACTGTGAGAGCTCCTTCTCTAACTCTTTAATTCTGCTCACTTTTGTTTTAAGTTCCAACTCTAAAATATGTGTCGAATCCTTCTGCCTAACGGATAACACGCTTTGTTCCCTCAGGCGTTTGTTTTCGTCTTTAAGTTTCTCTAGCTGCAACTGAATAGAGAAAAAAATTAACAGAAAAACAGAACGGATTTGTTAGATAGCAAAAGAAATCTGAGAGATTTTTCAAAAGTTTACTTCTCACCAAAAAACTAAAAACAGACCCATGGGTTTAATTTCCTACAAGTCTGTTAGGTTATCTGATAAGCACACTATTTTAGTTCCATGTCGATGAAGTGAAAAGGAATATTTCTATTACGCTGAGGTATTAATGCACTCCATTAGTTGTCCATGAAAAACAAATTTGTACAATTTCACATGCTACTTCATGTAACAGTTTATCTCACTTTAACTTAGACATAAAACACTCAGAAATCAAACCCTTTCCGCTTGTTACACAGCCAGCCATCACAGGTTGTCAAATTGGTGAATTTCATTGTACATTTGGTTGCCATAATTTCTCTTGTTTGTTAAAGAAATTTGCAGTTAAGTATCTAAAGTAATCTGAGATGGTTTGGTTTGGCATTGTTTTCGGTCAGTGATTGGTCTACAAAACTCCCAAAACAAAAAACAAGCATGACTTAGTCACCTGCATTTTCCTGCCTTTTTCATGGTTTGTCTATTTTTACATTGAGTGCTCATTGGCTCACATTGATGTTAACCTTTGTAATGATTAGCCGTTGTGATTCCTTTTGTTTTGGAGTTTAAGTACTTGACAGTAAATTGAAAACTGCTCTCTAAGTCAACCAAAGTGATCACTGATTAAAGCACTGACACAACAAGACTTCACCCACCGATGTTTGCTGTTCTTCATTGCCCGTGGTGCTTTTTGTACTAAGAGGAGTTGTGCTCACTCTGGACACTGAGGATTTACCAAAGCTTGGAGCGCGTCCAAGGCTTGTTGATGTACCTGTCAAATTAGGATAGTAGAAGACTTTCAATCGACAACAAAGAACTTCTATGCGTCCATTCGAAATGTGGCAAGAACAAAAAATGTGGTGCCAGAGGCGAAGCAGAACATGTCACCGATGGTCTTCACACGTTTTGACAACTACTGTAATCTACTACTGAACAGTTGCACAGCAACATGACATCTATTTATTTAAAATAAAAAAAAGCAAAATGTTGCTAATGGTGAGATTATCTATGAGTCTGTCCTCCATTTAATCATAAGTAGCAACCAATCAAAATGCTTGTTTACTTCAGCAGATCACATAACAGTAATTACATGCACTGATAGCAAGGTTTCTCTAAATACCCATAACTCAAAAACAATTCAAAATGGTCAAGATATTACATCAATGTAAATATAAACAAGAGTGTCACATGCTTGAAAACAGGGAGCAATAACTGGCCAAAGCCAAAGCTTTTTAACCCTTTACACCTTAACATCAGTATGCATATTCTCCATACTGTTCTTTATACATTTCCTAAGCTGCTGACCAGGAGAATTTGTTTGCCAATCAAAAGGTCCCTTCCCTAGTGACCAATTCCTTTTTTCTCATGACCTAAATGTGTGATTCATGGGTGATCTTGTAGGGAGAAATTAGATGCTAATCACTCTTAGGGGTTAAAGGGTTAATTGATGTTCTTATTTTACAACTGAAAAAAAAAAATCATTAGACAGGATTCTCTAATGGGATGGTTTGTCTTAGTGGAGAGATTAGCTATGACAGTCACAAAGTAAGGGTCCCCTCCCCTGAAAAAAAAATTGAGATAATCCTAACTTCTAAACTTTTGACAAAAATATGAGTATAGCAAAACTTTTTAACTTGCACTGAATGATTTGACTCACTATGCGCAAACACATCTGACTCTGCAGAACTACTACTTGAGCTTCTTCGTGGAATAAATGCCTGAGATGCCTGGACAAAAGGTTTGAGTACTCGCGACCAGTTGTCTAATTCCAATCGATTTTCTGCCTTCAGATAATAGGTGGACTTTCCCAGCTTCAATCCAATTGAAAAAGGCTCTCCAGTATCTGCTTCACCAATAAACATCCCGCTGCAGAAGTCCAGATTAATGTTTCCATCAAGTCGTTCTGTTGAGCAGCCCTTTTAAAAAAAGATGATAAAAAAATGTACATCAAATAACTCTGAATACATCTGGATATATGTGCCAACTGTGCAGATTTCTGCAAAATTAATGTTACAATAAATCCTCTGATTAACATTTGTGTTATTCACTATGTGAGTGAAGATGCCAATGCTGGAAAAAAGGGGACCTGCCCATTTAACTTTTTCCAAATCATGAAAAAATATATTGCTTTAATAGTAGAGCATTTGCTCATAAGCAAGGGTACAAGTTTTATATACAAAAAAAATAATAATTTGATCCCAAAGTTTTTAGCAGTAGCACAGTTTTAACTTGAAAACATTTATGCAAAGTTAACATGAACAGAAAACAGAAATGAGTATGGTATAAATGTGTAAGGCCAGACCAGAGTGATTAAATGCAACCAATACTGTACACTCTTAGTTGCCTCAGCATTATTCCAAGTTAAAGGGCATTTATTCATACATTTTCACATATTTAACATGTCTGCCAAGACTGAGCACAATTCAAGCAATTTAAGAGCATTAAACACAAATCTGAGATATGTGAGCAGTACTTGTCATAACACATATAGGCAAAACAATTTAATTGAGCTTACAAGGATTAAATTTTTGCAATCATCAGCTGCTATAGATATTCATGAGTAAATAGTTGACCACACACTTTCAATATTTCATGAATCTCATCAAAAAATGTTTGGAATTAAAAATGAAAAAAAACACTTGCCTGCCCTTAGTTATGTTAGAGTATCATGATGATAATACAAATACAAATTTAAATCATTTACTTGAGTAAATTTAAAAATAAATTGTCAAACTAATCTCTATGTTGTTGGTACAAAACCACACAAATCTCAAAAAAAAAAATCAAAATGTCTTTACTTTTAAGACTTTATACAGTCTGAAATTTAAGGTGGTAAAGGAAGATGTGCTGTTATCCACATGCAATTGGGTGTCAAAAGGCACAAATAAAAAATCCCAGTTTCCACTCTGGGAGGTAGAATTTGTCCACAAGAAAGAATGCACTGGTGATATTACAAGGCATAAGAGAGTGTGAAAAATGCCAATGTGACATTTGATTCATACTAACAAGAGATAAAAAATGTAAATTCCTTCTACGCCTCCAGTTTCCACCGTAAAATATTGCCTATGTTATGATCAAATAAATGAGTGCTCAAATTACACAATATATGCAATGTAACAACAAGACATAAGATCACAGGGAATTTTATCTCTCAAGGTTAACATCACTGACATGGATTATTTATAACAATATCCAAAAAAAAAAAATTTGGCCCAGAACTGGTTGAGTGATTATTTCATCAGAGCAGACCCAACAAATACGCTTACATAGTCTTTAAAAAAAAAAGGTAAACAATGCAATATTACTAAAGATATTCTCTCCCCAGAGGGCAAATGGAACAATTAGATTAACAAGATACCTCGAAAGGGAGCATACCGAAATTATGTTTAGCTTGGGGTAAATCAACACCGCTCACAGCGAAAAGGACTTAAAAGGCTTTGTGGGATGTTTACAAAGTGCTTCTCCCGTTACAAAGTTTGAAAACTGAGAAGAATCTGACATACTTCAGCTTCCAGGATTATCAGTAAAGATGTGATTATTCAAACGTGATCGCCTCACTACAGATTCATCCTTCAAAAGATTACTGATACATCAGAAAACATCTTCATTATAATATTAAAGGTTAATGTGTCAAAATACTTTACGGCCGGCAAATATTTACGTTAAGCGATGGACATATATCGATCCATCGGATTCAATTTGCATGTGGGAAACAATTTATAAACAAAATATTTTTCGCTGTTAATTTCAATAGGTGATACAAACAAAGACCTTCGCAAAATTATTCCCGCAATGTTCGAAAACAATCTATCGTTGTTCTTTCGTCGTTATAAAGGGACTGAGATGTAGACAATGAGCGCAAAATAGCTGTATTGACGAGGAATGTGCTCGATTTCTCTCGAGTTAAATATATTAGTTGGTATAGTTAACACTAGACAAATACCATGTTAATTTCAGCTATGTGAAAATTAAATTTCCTACCTTCTGTTCATCGTAGTAAAAAAAGTCGAGGGTCCCCGTGGAATTAAGAACAAACCAGCGCTTATTCCATCGCTGAAAATAAGACAAAACGATAAAATAAGCCATTCAAAATAGGGTAGCCTACCTTGAAGAAAATAACTAGCAAAAAATTCACAAACGGAGCAAAGGATATTGCAACTTACCGAAGGAATAACTCTTCCCTTCTCGAGGGATTCATGGGTTGTTATACAGAGAACGCCAGATTTTACCACAGTTCTGATCCTTGGATAAACCTAAAATCAATTTAAAGAAGATTCGTGATTAAAATCGTGAACTGTGACTAAACAAGGAAATCTTTGCCAGCGCAAGTTAAAACAGAACCCTCAAGAAAGCACCATAACATAGGCAATAGACGGTTGCTATCCGAACGGAGTCAAACAATCACACATTGCTACCTTTTGAGTTGAATTTCTCCTCGTTGCACTTGAAAAGGAGGGATCTTGGCCGGAAATTGAGGAGCTGTGTGCTTCTAGCAGCTTGAAACAATTTTGACACTTGCTCTTGTTGAAGACATTTGGCTGAAAGTTCCTGCAAGCACGATCAGCCATAGCAGATCGTAGATCGCTGCTATTTCTGTTTCATTCTTAATCGAAATCAGACGTCCTCGCCTTTTTCTGACTACCTACTTCCACAGATTAAATGGCGAAAAGAAAGCAAGGTCGTAAAAGTCCAACTAAAAGCTCTTTGTGAGGATTCGGAGAGAGTTTCTGAAATTATTATACCTCCTCAAACGACGCCCCGGGTTTGATCCTTTTACACTGCCAACTAGGCATGCGCAGGACGGGACAAAAACAACCTCACCCTACCCCGCTAAAAATGCATTGCAAGTCTCATTCACATCTCAAAGAACTCCCCAGTTGCTACGTCCCCTTCAATTTCGATAGAAGATAACAAGAAACGACGTTTCATGTTAGATAAATCTTTCGATGTACATTTAAACAACAATAAAAATTCGCGGCAGCACTATATATATGAGAAAAAAGGTCTCTGAAATGTCTGTAATATTCTTGTGAGAAAGTGGAATGTAATAGTGTTTCTCCCCTGTCAGTTTGAGAAAAAAGTTACCATTTCCTACCATAGACACTTTGACAGAAACAGAATTTATTTCAAAAACTATCTGTTACGTTTTATTTGAGAATTCGGAGTGGAAAGCTTTATTCCATGTAGGATGTCACTGATTTTCAGTAATATAGAAGCCAGTTCCACGTGCAAAATGCACTGAGCACAGTCTTTCAACTCCCTTACTAACCCAAAACCTACTGCAAACCCCTCCCCGACCCGTCTCAAATATTCTCGCCAGGCGGAGAAACGCGGGTCCTGCAACGCTGAGGGCGTGTGCGTCGAGTAAAATATCTGCACTGCTGTCTAGACAGTTGGTAGCTTAATAGCACGCGGGAAAAGAGTTAATTTTTTGGCCCACGTGGGTGGTGGCGTATTCATGGCGAGAGGCGTGTGACCCGCCCGTGCCATCACACTTTTTTTTAAGCTTTACTAAGATTTACTAACCGTGACCCAATTTGTTGACAGTCCATACACAAGTGAAAACATAATGAAACAGTGGATTCAGGAAGAGTAATTTATCAACATGTACTTCATACACAGAAGGTTGCTTGGCACTCTAACTGGTTTATAAAATACATAAATTTACAAACAAATATATACCCGCTAATTTTCATTGTTTTATTTCTGCTTTCTTCAGTTTTCGACATCTTCAATTCAAATTAACCCTCTTTGCGGTAAGACAATTGGAGTCAAATAAATTCTGCTCGGGACATTATTTAAATTCAACATGATATGCCATGCTATCATACATAACCTGGAAAGAATTAATTTCTCATGAAATCTAGACAGTAGCTATACTAAAAGAGCTCTTGCGCGTTTTCATCGCTTAGCCTGAAAAGGATTGGGAGAATTAAAGACGGTTAGAACTTTGATTGCGCCGTTTTGGGTCTGGATAACTTTCTGGAATCCTTCAATCCCCCCGAGGCTATGTTGACACGTTAATGGGCCTCTGATGTTTTAATGAAAGATTTCTTTAAAAATATGCGGAAAACTGAAACGGCACCACCATGCTTCCATGCTCTTATCTGTACACACCTATCGACTAATGCGAGTGTGCGTTACACATCATAACTATTTAAAACTTGATTAAAATTTCAATTAAAATCAGTGACCTGACGTTGGCTAAAGAGAATATGATGCTAATCAGCAAGAGTTACGGTTAAAATATTGGTTTTCCTACTTGACCCAAGGATCCTAAACAATTCTTATTCCAAGGATATCGAGGCGTGAATACACCGGCGGGAATAAATAGGAATTGAATAAAAAACTAATTGCAGGTTCTGCCCCCTCAATTTTTCAAATAAAAAAAAAGGGGGCACGTATATTGAATAGGATAATCCGACTTTCTTCGCTTTTATTAGTTTTCATTTTCTTTTTTAAATTCTTACTGTATTATATGTCGTACACGTTTGTTTTTTTTTTTTTTTAATTTTTTTAGGCAGTTTTGTTTTGGTTTTTCCTGTTTTACTTCATAGTCTCGCCACTGCTTTTCTGTGATTCTGTTGTATTTTATTTCAATAGTTTCCGAATCTGTATAACGTAATCTTAGGTCGTAGTTCCATAACGTTTTTCTTAAGTGTAAATAAAAACCGTACAATGACCATTTGGAACTGAAGATCACATGAGTAATGTGCAAGATTTTTTTGCAAACTTAAAAATTATGTTTCTTTTGTAAGAATTATTGTTGCTCTGCTTATTTTCTGAGCCCTAAATAGCAAGACAACTTTGTCGGTGTTTTACGAGAACTACACTGTACAATGTATAGAATTCAATAAATATGATTAAACTGCTACACACTAAGTAAAATTTACGCTTCACTGCACATAGAGTTTCCTTTCTTTTCCTCCACACCTCACTCAAAATTGCGAGATACTACTATTTCCGTGCAAACATTCTATGAAATTCAGTCCAAAATATTCTGTCCACAACCCGCTTACAGTTCAATATGCAATCACACCTCATCCAGTATCAATAACATCCGAGAACACTGGAGACCAGGTTGCACGATTATGCCCGACGTATAATCGATCTACGATCGGAAATTCGTAACTAGTGTTTTTCCAAGTATAGATGCGTGTAGACAGCATAAAAATGACACCATGCTCCTGTGGCACAGAAACAATGCCAGATAGCATGCGCAAAGGGTATTCGTCCATCACATTTAAAAAACACTACGCCACTGACGTAAAAGGCTCCTCCCAGTGCTACCTCGGCTAGACCAGCGGAGTCCGTCTGTGTAAAGGGAAAAACAGTTATTCGAAAAAAAGGCCTACATACAAAGAGCAGTCTCAGATGGAGTTTCACAATTCCGAACCAAATTAATAACAGTGGCTGGAGCACTTTTGATTGAGTGTGTTAAAACCAGGATAATCATAACGACTAAACATGACATAAAACGCAAATAGCATGCAGGAGGAACCAATGAGAGCCCAGAGAAAATGCCAGCTGACGGCCTTAAGCGCGGAAATTCGCAAGTGACTAAGTCGCAGTTGGTTTTATTTTTGCAACAATCGGCTGACGGGATGGCACAAATGTACTAGACCAATCAAAGAGTGAGGTATGGTAAACCAGTTGAATGCAATTTCGGATTACTATAATCAGTTGGTTGGAAATTCCTCTGTGCACAACAAGCTTAAATCAAAAGCGCGAGAAAAGCTGTGGCGACATTGCGATTGGCTAAATGAGGCAGGCAGAGGGATTCTAACAGCATGGAGTTATCATCTATACGGCCATCTCTATGACTATTGGGCATGATCGAGAAGGAAAAAATGACAAATATATTCAAACGCGCGCAAATATTGTGTTTCCTACTTCCACAACAATTGGCTATACTCATCAAATTTCGATTACGTCACCAACATAGATTGACCGCTAGTGAGTTGGGGAAATTCGCAAGAACGAGACGTTTAGAAAATTTTGGGTAGCTAAGCGTAGCTCGGTAGTTTAAGACACACTAACAGAAAGCACAAATCTGCATCCTGATGAGAGATTAGAGCTGGAAAGGGATGGCTCAAAAGAAACGAATATACTTACTGAGGCAAAAGCTAGGGGAAGAGATGGACATATTCCAACGATCAGATACAGAACAGTTTCTACTGTCTTATATCTAAAAGCAAAACAAAATCAAACAAAATCAAACAGAAAAAATAACCATACATTAAAAACAAAAAGAGCTCATGAACTGATTACAACAGCCAGTGCAATATTGCAGAAACTTTTCAAACAGAGTGCAAAGAGCTTCCTTCCTTTAAATCATTTCAAAATAAATTACAAATTAAGAAAACACAGAAAATATTGATAGCAGTTGAGCCAAGTTTATCACTGAGATCGGACAGTTACCTTTCATGGAACATGTAAGTATAAACAGTGCCAGTCGCAGCAAGACACCATAAAAGCCAGGATATTAGATCTCCATACTGGCCAACATCTTTTAACACTAGCCTGGAAAACAAAACAGAAGTTACTCATTTATATGGGGTAGAATCATCTTTATGATTCTGTTTCACCCCAACCCGCCCTTGGAACATAAATGTTGTCCCTAAAAAGATCTGTGCAAATCGTAAAAGAGGAGTTTTGGTAAACCCTCTCCTCCACCCTTGAGAATAAATCCTTATTTCCTTCCACAAAATAAATTATTGAAACCCTCCTCCCTTAAAAATTTCAGTGCCTCCCAATGGGTGGTTAGGGAAGTTTTTTTTTTTAATCATACACAAGAAAAAATTTAAAGGTGTATTGGCGTAGTAAGATTTGATGAAAATGAGTATTGAAATTTTCTCCAAACAAAATTTTTATCCACTCACCATGGCATGTATGAAGCTGCAATGAAGAAATAAATAATGCCACGATCACTCAAATGCAGAAAGAATCTCAAGGAGCTGAAAAAGAAAAAGATTATTGTATTATGTGAATTGTATGATTATATTACAATATCAATATTTACCAATAATTGATGGAGTGAATAAATAATGTCCTGAGAGACATTTGATGAGACATTAACTTCTCCCTCTGTTTTACAAGGACATACAAGACAATTTGAGAGGTAAATCTAGTTGTCCATCAAAAGACACTTACAGCCTTTTTTTTCATGGATACCGGTACCTTTGATTGAAAGTATGTTTACAAATTTTTGTGATCTTTATGATCAGGAAGAGAATATATGAGTGATTTGAACTAAAACTGATTAGGCTAATGCTTTAACCCTTTAACTTCCACGCGTGACCAAGACAGAATTTCTCCTTACAATATCAATAAAATATCAATCAGATATATAAGTAATGAGAATAAAGAAAAATATCAATTTGGGGATAATTGGTTGATCCAATATTAAATTCTCTGAACTAACATTATAAAAATTGTATGGTTAACAGTAAAGAGAATTACAAATTTGATCTGGGAGTTAAAGGGTTAATTTTTTTGTAACTGTATGGCATGCATAAAGAAAATTATCACATTAAATGGAAGAGAACTGAATGATTTTTCTCTGCTAATTTCTTTGTGAACCTGTGGTTAAAATGACAATTTCCATCTGCCAAATGTACAGTCAAGATCAATTTTTATCAATTATTTTGAGACCAATTTATGTTAAACTGTTACACGATGTAGGTAACTCATCTCACCTGGCCTTTCCAGTCAGGCTGACAACATGAAATAAAGTTGATATCAAGAAGACAAGGATAAAAGCAGTTCCATACACTTCAGCAATAAAACGATGGCTTGCTGATAGCAGTCTAGAATTTTGGTGAAGACGCAATGCTGCATAAACAGCTGGCATTACAAACAGCTGAAACAAAAAACAGAAAGGCTAAAAATTTCCTGTTCCAACATGTTGTAAACTACTATTCAAAAGGGAATATTTAATTTATTTAGTGCTTACTCCATGGGTAATGATATTCGCTGTTTGTTCAATCACAGTGGGTTTATATGCCTCATTTTTACCAGCAGGTGGATTCATAAGTCTGAGGAACAAGATTTAAACATATTGTTATATAAATTTCCATAAAGTGCTGTCTACAATGTAGATTTTATATTCTCCTCTATAAACATTTTTTACTGAAGACTGCCAATACTGGGTAATATACCATTCACCCCTTAACTCGCAGAAGTGATTAACATGTAACTTCTCCCTAGAATATCCATACATTATCCAGCAAATAGGTCATGGGAATACTTAAACTTTTCCAGCAGAAGATGTCACCTTGATCTCTGTATCACCAAGTTCTTGTCAATAATTTACAAGGAAATTTATAGCCGCTAAAGGGGAGAATTAACAATCAGATCTTGGAAGTCAAAGGGTTACGTCAGTTTTACTTTGAATTTGAACTGAGTAAGGATGACCCTGACCCCATTTTCCAGCAACTAGCAAGGGCATCCCCCCTCCTCCACCAACATGACAAAACTTTATTTTTGCATGATAGTATTTTGCACCCTTGTTCAAGTTTTAAGCCTGCTGTAATGGGTTTTTGAGAGTGACATGAGAGGCCGACTCATCTCCTAGGTCAGGCTAATGATCAGGCTCATTATTCACGTCTATCTGTCTTCACAGCATGCTTGGTATATGGTATATGAGATGGATGATATGCCCTTAGAAATAAAAGGTCGATGATGCTCTGTTATTTCAAAATTAGATCAAAACAGAGATTCCTTGTTTTCCAAAAGGGTTTCTGAGCGCCCTGCTAATCTCCCCTCCCCATCTGACCTTGGCTAAATAGAAAACTGACTCATGAGTTTTAACTTGACTGATGAGGCCAGAAATGTTTCCAGCAATGTTGATCAAGTACAGTATTATTTCCAAAAAAGGCAATTCAAAATTAAGATAAATTTCTTACACAAATAATAGGCTTACTGTGATTACTTACTGACGAAAGAAAACCTTTTTTTAAAAGGAAATCTTTAGAATATGCTAGTATGAACTATGCGGATATGTAAAGCCCATAAAGTTAATTATTAAAATCATCTTACCTCGAACAGCTAAAGCAACCCATGTTTCAAATCGACTGTCTTTAAACAGAAGAAATATTCCGTCCAAGTGCAACTGTCGATCGTAAAACCTGATTGAAAAAGACTTCAACTTTGCTGTTCAGTTGGAAACGTGTGTGCCGGAATAGAGCCTTTAAGAGTCATTCCACACTCATAATTTCACCGCTATATATGTGCGTCGCATCCGGGCATATTTTCTTTAAAAAAATTTTGCATTGGCAAGAAATTTTCTTAAGATTTCAAAGGTCCAAAGATTTCTTACAGAGCAGGAACAATAGTGACACAAGGCTCGAATGTGATCGACAATGTCATCTGTTTAGTTAGATAACGAGCGAGTCATTCATTTACCCGGCACTATTGCGACAAAAATTTCCATCCCTACCCTAGTAAAAAAACACCCTAAGCCTCCTTTGCGGTCGCGCGATACATCACAACAGCCGAAGTGCCAGGACTAAGTTTGGTTGGTTTGTTTTAAAAATTTTAACACAAATATTAATCACAAGAGATGTTATAGACGCAAGAGGTGTACTGGAATGACGGCCATAGACCTCAAAGAACAGGGAAATCGTCTTTTTAGCGGCAGGCATTACGATGATGCAGCGCAATGTTACACAAAGGCTATTGTAGGTTGAAATCACGTTCATTCACATTCAGTTAAATCGCCTTACATCTAAGAATTTGTGGTTTGTTTTCTTCGAAGTTTTGACTTAGATTTATCTATTACATTTGAAAGTTGGCGTTGGCCATCCGGAGAATAGTGATGGCAGTTTATAAAATCAGTTGTCTCGCTTTTACTTGCCAGTTTCATGATCACACGAATTTTATAATTGTGAACTGGATCGTGCCTATGGAAAGCTCGAGTTTGATACCAGGAAAAAAAGAAAAAAAAATAGTGATTTTCATTTGCGGATTTTTTTTCGCCATTGACATAATAGCATAGTTAATTTGTCTGTTATTTTCTGATTTTGGAGAGTAAAGGATTAGGACGATGCGAGGATTTTTTAAATCTGAAGAAAATATAATTTAATTTTCTGTAACCTCCTAAAATTTCGGTGTCTACGATACGTTGTGGCTTTCCGTTCCCCTGCTAAAAGCTTTTCAAATGTAACACTTGTTCATGTGGTGTGCCTTCTGATAGAAAAGTTCTGAAAAGGTTTGTTTAAGACTGAGTCACTCATCTAAAAACTAGGGCACAATATTTTACGCAGAAGTGTAATCAGTTTCATTTTCAGATACATTACACAGTTGAAAAATAGTTTGCTTAAATCAGAAGCCGATAAACTCTCTACATTATGAAATAAGATTTAATCATTGTTTCATTTTCTTTGATGAATACAGTAAATGTCCAAATATGTGATTAAACAGTAATTCCTTTTTTTAATGAAATTTTTGAATACTTCTTTTTCTTCTTGATCTATTAGCTCCATCAGGAAATTTCCACAAATTCACCATTATTTCAATTTCTCTATTTTAGATCAAGAATCCAACAGTTCCAACATACTTCACAAATCGGGCTTTGTGTCATCTCAAACTTAAGAAGTGGTCTCAGGTCATAAGTGACTGTCGTCGTGCCATAGAACTTGATGTGAACCTGGTCAAGGCACATTTCTTCCTTGGGCAGGCACTCCTTGAACAGGAGAATTATGATGAAGCACTTGCAAGTTTAAAAAGAGGTGGAAAAAAAGGATTATCTTAACCCTTAAAGAGTGATAAGCATCTAATTTCTTCCCATAGTATCACCCTTGAATCAAACATTGTGTTAATGAGAATAAAGGAAATGATCACAAATTCAAGAAGCCCTTGATTTTTAGACAAATTTTCCTTGTAAGGACCATATGAAATGTGTAGAGAACAGTATTGAGAACTTGTATGTTGATGTTAGGGTGTGAAGGGTTAAAATTTTGATTTTGAGTTTTTTCAATTGGGCTGTTAGACATTCAAACTTGGCATAGAGTGTAATTTGGAATACGGTAAGAACTTCAAAGCTTGTGGTAAATCCCTTTCATTCACTTTAAAATTTACAGCTAACAGTAGCATGGAAATATTATGTGGGTTCCCCTCTGCTATGATCACCTGCAGATAGCAATCTGGTTGTAAATGAGAAACAGACTTTAACACTCTGCATTAGTTGCCTTTTTAGGGTGCCATGAAAGCCCCAATCTCTGCTCCAATCATAGAACAGCTCCTTTAGTCCTTAGGGACTTTCTGTATGTCCATTTAATGTCAGTGAGCCTAACTATTGTACAGGGTAGATATAAATCAACTATGAAGTTCTCTCAAGCAAAAAGGTGTTCACTATCATTGTTTGTTCTGTAACCAGCCTATGATTTAGCCAAAGAACAGAAACTTAACTTTGGAGATGATATAGCAAGTACAGTCCGTCTGGCTAAAAAGAAGGTATGAAGAATTGACTACATTGTGTATGAAATGATTATCTGATAATGTAAGCTAACTGTATGTAAATGGAAAATATAAACTTTTGGCTTGAAAGAAAATTTGGAAAAAATCAAAATGAGTGACTGATGACAGATGACAAGACATTAGGCATTGTTAGATGTACTTGAACCTCTGGTTACTTCCACAACGAACAACACAAATTTAAGTGTGCTAGTTGTCAGATCTAATTTTGTCTCATTTTCAATATTGTTATTCCAGAGATTTAGTGTTGCAGAAGAAAGACGAATTAGCCAGGAAATAGAGCTCCAGTCATATTTGAATAATCTAATCCTTGATGATAAGAAGAGGTAAACTTTTTTTGGTGACTCTGACATTACCCTTTTAACTTTGTCAGTCACCTGTATCAGCTTTTGAGCTGCCAGTGGGTAACTTTTTGACCACTAAGAGTGACCAGCATCTAATTTCTCCTTACAATATCACCCCTGAATCACACAGTAAGGTCATGAGAATAAAGGAAATGATCACCAACCAAAGAAGCTCTCGATTGTTCAACAATTCTCTTTGTCTGCTCCTTAAGAAATGTATGGAAAACAGTATATAGAATTATGTTAGGATATTAAGGGTTTAACCCTTTAACTCCCAAGATCTGATTGTTAATTCTCCTCTCTAGCTGCTACACATTTCCTTGTATATTAGTTACAAGAATTAGGTGTTAGATCAAGATGACAACTTCTACCTGATAAGTTTGAATATTCTCATTACCTGTGTGCTGGATAATGTATAGATATTATTGGGAGAAGTTGCATATTGATCACTGCTGAGAGTTAAAGGGTTAACATTATTAATTAACCTTTTTCAGACAAATTAAAGCTGCAGGAAAAGATCCTGATAAAGAAGAACTTGATAAAATTGAATTGGAATGTGTGAGTAAAGTTTGGTTTTTTTTTCTTGCATTGACAAATGCAACATGCTCACCTTTTCATCAATACGCCCCAAAGTCAGTAGGTTGTTGCTTAATTGTTGTTGCATCTTTTTTCCAGGATAAAAGACTATCAGAAGTAAATAGCCTTTTTAAAGAAGTTGATGTCAGACGAAAGGTGAGAGCTCATCTTCTTACCTCAGTTTGCTGAATGTATTATGACTATCTTAAGAAACAGTGTGAGTCACTGGTAGTAATTATAACTCCAATGGTGAGGATGAAGTTTAAAGTCTTAGATTTTCCCATCGGAGGTAGTCAGTGCAGGTATCAGAATGTAAAGTTTAACATCCTATTCACCTACTGTACCAGTAAAGCTTGATGAAACAGTTATATTTTTTATAATAAAATCAGTGCTTCATATCAGTGAATTAACAGGTCTAAGTTCAAGACCAGATCTGGTCATTTTGATGTGTTCTTGGGTGGGACACCTTGCTCTTGCAATGCCTCTCTCCACCCATAAATGGGTGCTAGGGTGCTGTCATTAAAGCCTTACACATTTTTTTTAGGGGAGGGGAGGGGATGGAAGGGTAACCTTGTGATGGACTAGCATCTCACCCAGGGAGACTAGCAATTCTCTTAGTCACTTCTTGGTACAAAATCAGTTTAGGCTCTTAGAGGATGGGCAATTTAAGCTCTTGTGAGGCTATGGTAATTACAGTTATCAGAATTTGAATTGTGAGTTGAGAGACAGTAAATCAAGATTTGCCATGACTTGTTCAAATACAGTTTTCTGAAGTTAATCAATGATTGTGTTTTATTGGTTTTATGTTCTGTTGCCTGTTTACTGTCACTTTAATTTGTTCTTTGAAAGCCAGAAACCCAACTTCTTCCTCTGAAATATTTTTCCTGGTTTCTTACAGAAAAGAGAGGTGCCAGACTTCTTGTGTGGACAAATTAGTTTTGAACTCATGAAGGATCCAGTCATTACACCAAGTGGAATCACGTATCTTTTTTATATAATTGATTAATTTGCCAATTGGAAAAATCACTGGAATTGTTTCCAGTGAAAAGCCCTCTGGGAAGACTTTGACTGAAATTCAGATGTGAAGGTTTTGCTTCTGTGCAAGGTGAAAACCCTGCCCTTGTTACCTTTGAAGTTTTGGCGTAACATTTAAGATTAGAACCGAGTTTATCATGGAGACTTGGATAAAGTATATTCCAGAAACCTTATGATTTATCTCTGAATTAATATGTAGCGAAAAAAATTACTTCTTAGAGCAGATTAAGATTCCTAACAGAGAGAGAGAGTGTGGGGGAGGAGAGAGAGTGTGAGGAAGGAGAGAGAGTGTGAGGAAGGGAAGGCTATAAACCGCACCCAGTCCAGTAGCACATCCTTATGCAAGCTGTAACATGGCGTTTCTCTGCTGCGCCCAGATGCCAGCTAATTACTTCTGGACAATGTTGGAAACTTTTAACTCTCGTAGATACGATCGTAAACACATTGAAGAACATTTGCAGGTATGTCAGTCTAAACATCTTTTTAGAAAAAAAAACAGGTTTGCTTGGTTATCATGGTGCTAGTCAATCTGCGAAAAAAACGCGGTGACATGAAATAATTGTGATGTTATTCCTGGTATTCCGGAACTTCTTTATCCAGCGGGGTTTATCTCGATATTTTCAAGTAACGCGACGTATTCTTCTGGCGTGAGAATTTCGGGGAACTCTAGGTGCTGGTGCTATTATTTGATTGGACACGTATATCGAAAGATTAACGAGCTCTCCAACGAAGATTTGGGAAAATCGAGACTGGGGTTTCGACATCGAATATTGTAATTTTTTTCACAAGAATTAGTACGCGTCGGTGTTCACCAGCGTGCATTGTTATCATCTTCAGTTCAGATGTATATTTGTAGCCATTTTTCCTTTTTTTCTTTCTTAGCGTGTTGGCCATTTTGATCCCGTGACAAGAACGGATTTGAAACAAGAACAATTGACTCCAAACCTCGTTATGAAAGAGGTCATAGATGCGTT